GTGCATAAGCAAATGGGAAGAAAGCTGATGGTACCCGGCTATCAAAAGATATAGCGTCTGGAGTCTTAAAGGCTTGCAGGTAAACAAGCAGCCATCTAGCTCAGAAGCATCAAAGCCCACATGGAAGAAGCACACCAGCCTGTGTGACCAAGAGGTGTAGAAGGCCCAGGTATTAGACATCAAAGAAGAAAAAATCATATCAGTGGGTGTCCAACTTCCCGATATGATCACTGAAGACAAATGGGTGCATAAGCAAATGTGGGGAAAAAAGTTGATAGAGCCCGGCTATCAAAAGATATAGCATCTGGGGTCTTAAAGGTTTGAAGATAAACAAGCGGCCATCTAGCTCAGAAGCAACAAAGCCCACATGGAAGAAGCACACCAGCCTGTGTGACCACAAGGTGTAGAGGGGATCAGGTATCAGGTATCAAAGAACAAAATATCATATCATTGTAAATGAGGGTGAGTGCAGAGTGGAGACCCAAAGCCCATCTGTAGGCAACTGGAAACCCCCTTACTGAAGAGTTGTGGGGAGGAAACAAGCCAGTCAGAGTGCAGAGTAGCAACGGTAAAACATACAACTTTCTTCTACTTCTTGAATGCGTCCTGCCCCCACTATCATGATCCCAATTCTACCCTATAAATCTGGCTAGACCAGAGGATGTACATTGGTACAGATAGGAACTGGAAACACGGGGAATCCAGGACAGATGATCCCTTCAGGACCAGTGGTGATACCTGGAGGGTGGAGGGAAGGTGGGGTAGAAAGGGGGAACCGATTACAAGGATCTACATATAACCTCCTCTCTGGGGGATAGACAACAGAAAAGTGGGTGAAGGGAGATGTCGGACAGTGTAAGATATGACAAAATAATAATTTATAAATTATCAAGGGTTCATGAGGGAGGAGGGAGGGGGGAGGGGGAAGAGAGATGGATAAATGAGAAGCTGATATTAAGGGCTCAAGTAGAAAGCAAATGTTTTGGAAATGATGAGGGAAACAAATATAAAAATGTGCTTGACACAATGGATGTATGTATGGATTGTGATAAGAATTGCAAGAGCCCCCAATAAAATGATTAAAAAAAAAAGAACCTGCATAAATACATTAAAAAAAGATACCCATGCTGAAAAAAACCACAAGTTGCATCATCATGAACTTCCAAAATAACAAAGGCAAAAAACAAACAAACAAACTTGCTAATACAAGGGTTAAATCCAAAAAGTATTGTGACAAAAATCATAGCTATGTTTATTAAACAGGAATATCCATATGGGAAGCTATTTTCACAAAATAACATCCATCTAGGACTACTACAGAATTCTGGTCAGTGCTTCCATCTCTCAAAACCTTCCTCCCTTGAAGAATTCAGCACTCTTTGACTTACACCACATCAAAACAGTAGTTTGGGTGTCCTTTTGGGACTCAAATCATGTGCTTTTCCAAGGTTCTTTCAATTTTGGGACCAAAAGAAGTCTACAGGCGCACGAAGAGTGCTGCAGAGTGGAAGGTTTCCCAGTGAAATTCTCATAGGAAGAGCCTCAAAGAATGAGGAGGCACATTGTCATGATGGAGAAAAATTCTTTTACAGAATTTACCTGTGTTTGTTTTTTTCACCAATGCAGTTTTCAGTCTTCAGGACACTTCTTCATATTAAGCCTCTGTGACCATCCTGTGCTCTTGGAGAGAATCTAACATCACATCTTAGGAACTCAAAAGGACTAGCACCTTTGGAGACAATTTCTCTGCCTTAAATTTAATTGGCCCAACATATCGTCACGGAAGCCACTGTTTTAACTGGACTTTTGTCATCTCCTAAGGGCATGGTGACTTTTCCTAGTATTTCAAAGATGTAGATTCTCTCCAAGGGCAGAGCAGATGTCTACAGATAAGTCCTCTCTCTAAAGCAAGTGATTTACTGAGAGAACCTCTGCAGACATCCACTGGTTACAGAGACATAGTTAAACATGTCTTGTTTGCAATAAACTCATCCATGTATGAACTGTAATCTTAATTGCAATACTTTTAATTTACCCTCACATATACACAACAGAACTTCACCATTCTGAGTAAAAGGCCGTTCAAACTAGAATTGTTTTAACTGTACAAACTGAAACCAGTGTGAGAGGGTATTTAAAACATTTACAGGTAAACAAAATCTCAAAATATATCATCTAAGGACCTTGTGGCATACTATATTTCCCCCAAATAGCCACAGCATCATTTCTGGTTCACAATTTCTTCCAGAACATTGCCACTTCCCTATCAAGTGGTAAAGCCTATTTGAATCCCCATGAACCTGCTCGGAACTTTATCACAAGAGAATATAGCAGAAATGACAATGAATGATTTTGGCGGGTAGGTCTTTAGAAGGCTATGCGATTTTCCCATAGCTTTCTCTCTCTCAGGCAGTTCACTCTTGGAAACTGGACATTATGTTGTGATGAGGCCCAACCCCCACAGAGAGGCCAGATCTGTGTTTTCCATATGATAGTTCCAGATAAAGCCTCTGCTGAACACTAGGAACAACTGCCAGACACAGGAGTCAGCCTTTGGGCAATTCTAGTGGTCAGCCTCCCAGTCACCCGGATGGACACTGAGTAGAGCAGACATAAGCCAACTCCACTACAGCCTGCTCAGTTGCAGGTTAGTGAACAAAAGATAATTTTCATTGTTTTAAGCAGGAGCAATTTGATATGCAACCTTAGAACACATTTTAAGGCATAGAAGTGTAATATTCCTATAACAATAAAATGTCTAAAACAAAGGAAGCACTTAGGGAAAGAGCAGAAGCCAGAAACTTGGAAGTGCCCCCAGAAAGCATGAATCTGATGGGCCTGAACAAGATGGTCAATAGGAGCCCAAGGGTTCTCTGAGGAGGCTGTGGATGAGCACTTAAAGGAAAGAGGAAAATGTGACTGGAACTGTGTATGTAATAGACGTCAGGCCACCTAGAAATTCTACCCTGGGTACTTAATGATCTAGCAGCGTTGAAGGTGTCTGATTTCTAGAAGGTTGTATTAAAATATGAGAGGATGAAATAAAGATATTAAATATGAAAGAGACTGGAATGCCTGGATTGCAAACTAGACACCATCTTAAAGATTTTCAATTAAGAAAGAACTTCAAAGCAAAGATCAAGTTCAAAATAAAGCTATAAAATTCTTTAAGATATCTGAAAAAATCCAAAGCAGTGCCTCAGAAAGAAAACTGTTCAGTTAGACAAAAGGTCTTCTAGAGAGCCCAAGAACTTTAAGGTCATTGTCGCTCAAAGCCTTCAGTCAATGTCAAAAGTATGAGAAAGGCTGCTGTTGCAGAGATCTGTGAGTGTTGCTTTTGTCTAACGGAATTAAAGAAATACTTTAAAGGAATTGTATCAGTTTGGCCTAAAAAAAAGTCTGTACCAAAGGAAAAGGGCTCTTTAGACACGTACATTTCTAAGGAGGAAGAGGGTGAAAAAATACTAAGCTGCAAATAAGGACTACATTTCATAGCAAAGAATAATGACACAGAAGAAAGAAGAACCTGCAAAGGTTCTGTGGAGCACGGGCCCCAGAGAGCGCAACTATGTGCTAATCAAAGAAATGGTAAGTGACGTGTGCCCTACCGGTTCTCAGAACTGATATTACCTAGCTTGGTAGAGGACCAGGAAGAAGAGGAAGACCATCAATGAGATGGGGTGATACAGAGAACAACTGTCAGTACGGTACAGGCCCGGGCAGGTTTGTCTGTTGGGCACACGGCACCTGAAAACATGGACTAGTGACTCCTGGGTGCCTCCCTTTTACATCCACTTGAGTAGAAAGGTCTAGAGTGTTATCCTAGGCCTCTCCTATCATATATCATGGGGGCAGGAGTTGAAGGGGCAGGAAACTTGTATCTTTAATTCACTTATCTTCAGATCAAGAGGAATTGTGCTTCCAAATCACACATGGAAAGCTCCTTTCACACCCAAACCTGGTTTAAGTGAAGAAATCCATGGCACAGTCTGGAGGGCAGGGAGGGGATACACTGTTCTCCCACGGGAGACACGTGTCCCCAGAAGGACACGGCAGATATCACTCTCCAAAAAGACCAGCATCACAGTACTTCTAGTCCCACAAGCTCTTCCAGAACGCCACCACGCCTCTCCTTTGAACCAGGCAGGGCCTTTGCAACTGACTTCCGCCTGAGACGCTTACCCCCCGAACGTGGCTGCCATGCTGTAAGGCAGCTTGGACCACGTATAAATATATACTTGGTCTCCTTACCTAACATTTCAGTGTACAGTCAGGATCAACTGTCGAATGAAATGCATACACAGATGACTTCAAGCCCCGGACTTAAAAGCCACGGCAGCCAGTGCAAACAGTGCAGCACCCTTTACTACCACGAGAAAGAGGCAAACAAAATCCCCAGGAACGGGAAAAGCTAATGTAGGCAAGAGCAAACAAAATGAAACTTAAGAGATCACCAGACAGGTTTGATTGATGTGAAAAAATGATTTCCAAGGTATTTTTTTTCAAGATCTGCTGAAGAAAATAAACCAATAGAAAATGTAAGTAATTTTTAACTCCAGAAAAGGGGGACAGGGATAGTATACTACTAGAAAAATCCCATGGTAAAGTACTTGGTTCAGTAATGAAGGTATTTAGAAAATCAAAGGAGTGAAAATACCAAATATGGATTTCAATTAAAACCATAAGGTATCAGGGAGCATGAGGGAGAGTGGGTTTGTGAAAGATGCTAACCCCCTGTCTCCCATAAGATGTCTAGAAATATTAACCAAAGTGAAAGCATCAAGAGTTAGCAGTATGCACACATTCGTCAGAAAGAAAAGGCAAATATTAGAAGGGCTACAAGAGTAAAACTCAGTGTGAATGCATTAGTTTAACGGTATGGATGTGGTGAGCATGCTGCCTTTTAATATCATTTGATTTTCTAAATTATACTTTAATTACTTTGATGAAAACAAAACCAAATATAAGCAAATTTTAGAATGCACTACAAGTATACTTACTATGGAAATGCGGTTGAAGCAGGAGCCAAAACTGGAGGGTTCTTCCAAAATTCATCCAATAAACTCTGAATAATTTTTCCAAGATCCGAGTGCATTGTAAACTGAAAGTAAAGACAATATATAGGATCAACAAAGTGAATTTCAGACAAAGACTATGAAGTCACATTAGGATAATGTCACTGTATAACCAACTTTAATCCACTTAAATAGGTCAAGAATTAATTTAAAAAGCAAAGCTATCATGTCATTTTAAAATACACGTAATCTACAACTTAAAATTTTTTATCAGAGACTCACTACCATGAAGATTTAGTAATGAGAAATTTGGTTTGAAGTTTCCTTGATCGATAATGGGTCTGAAATATTTCCATCAAAATAAAAAAGCATACTCATTGCTATCAGGTTGATTCCAATTCATGGGAACCCTTATTTGCAGAACTTATGCATCAAGGGTAAACACGCAGAGGACATTTATGTAGCAGTCCTGCACATGAACTAATTGTACACATAGCCTAAGAACTTTAAGGCATATTTGAATTTTATCTTTTCCGAGCAACTACGGAAATCATCCACCAACAACTGCCGCAGTACACTGACAGGGAGTTGCCTGAGGCTCAAGCAGGATTCCAAAGAGAATGCGGAACAAGGGATATCATTGCTGCTGTCAGATGGATCTTGGCTGAGAGCAGAGAATACCACAAAGATGTTTACTTGTTTTATTGATTATGCCAAGGCATTTGACTGTGTAGATCATAACAGACTATCGATAACTTTGAGAAGCATGAGAATTCCAGAAATTTGATTGTGCTCCTGCAAAACATATACATGTACCAAGAGCCAATTGTGCAACTAGAACAAGGGAATACTGCATGGTTTAAAATCAGGAAAAGTGTGTGTCAGGGTTGTATCCTTTTACCATACTTATTCAATCTGTATACTAAGCAAATCATCAGAGAAGCTGATTTATCTGAAGAATATGGCATCAGGATTAGACGAAGACTTATTAACAACCTGTGATATACACATGACACAATCTTGTCTGCTGACAGCGAAGAGAACTTGAAGCACTTACTGATGAAGATCAAGAATTGCAACCTTCAGAATGGATTACAATGCAATGTAAAGAAGACCAACATCCTTTCAACTAGAACAATACATAACATCATGACAAATGGAGAAAAGATTACAGTTGTCAAAGATTTTGCCTTGCTTGGATCCACAATCAATGCTCGTAGAAGAAGCAATCAAGAGATCAGAAGATGAGTTGCAAAAGGCAAATCTGCACAAGACCTCTTTCAGAACATTGAAAAACAAGGATATGACTTTAAGGACTAGGGTGTGCCTGACCCAAGCTCTGGTGCTTTCAACAGCCTCATCTACATGTGAAAGTTGGACACCAATTAAGGAAGGTCAAAGAAGAATTGATACATTTGAGTTTCGGTGCTGGTGAAGAACACTGAATGCACCATGGATGTGAAAAGGATAAAGAAATCTGTCTTGGGAGAAGTGCTGCCAGGGTGATCCTTAGAGGCAAGGATAGCAAGACTTCATCTTGCATACATGTTTTCAAGAGAAAAGAGCAGCAAAAAAGGAAGGCCCTCCAGAGATGGGCTGAGCCGGCGGCTGCGACAGTGGACTCAGGCACAGGAACAGCTGTGAGGAGGGCACAGGACCCGGGAGTGTTTCCTTCGGTTGTGCCTAAGGTTGCAAGAGATAGGAACTGACTCGAAGGCCCCTAACAACAATACCAACCGAGGAACGCCTCACTCGGAAACAAATTCAAACACGAGCAGTTCTCGCCGATGCAAAACAAATCATCTTCACATCAGAAGTTTTGTTGTAATTCAATAAAGTAATATTTATTATGCACTTAATAGATCTTAAACTTACTGATTTTAAAGATCTTAAAGATTACTGATTCCAAAATACCCATTTGTAAACTATCAAGGGCTCATGCGGGAGGGGGGAGCGGGGAGGGAGGGGAAAAATGAGGACCTAATGTCGGGGGTTTAAATGGAGAGAAAATGTTTTGAGAAACGATGTACAAATGCGCTTTACACAACTGATGTGTGTATGGATTGGGATAACAGTTGTATGAGCCCCTAATAAAATGTTAAAAAAAAAAAAAAGATTACTGATTCCAAACTGACATTTTATATTTCTGTTTTGTAGAAAAGAAATACAACTACTATTACTCTGAAATAAATTATATTGTATACATACATTGTTTACTAATGGACAGGTAACATACACTCCTTGCTTATCCATTAGGTGATGTCGTATTGGAGGATAAACACTGATTACTGGTTTTTCCTGAGGAAATTGAGGAGGAAGCAATCTAATAATGACAAAACAGAAGGAAAACAAAGGCCATACATTATATAAATATAATCCTAAATCAACATTAAGAATAAATTAAATTTTCACACATTCATTCAGATTAATTATTCAGCAATACATACACTATTATGGATGTTGAGTTGACTGCAAATATACAAAATGTTACCCGTTGGCAGCAAACAATGAAGTAAATGAATAAAGCTTTCTTAATGTAGAATATAGGCATCCTGAACTGCAGCATATTTGACACACCATGCCAAATAGTTGCTTTGAGACACAATATACCAAGCTATAAAAAATCCCAGCTAAAAAGCAGATTGGACATTTGTATCAGGTGAACCTTATCAACCCAAAAGGCTCTGGCCCTGTGACTTTCCTTTGTTCTCTAGAGACCTCGGTGGCAGAGTACTTAGCCACTGAGTTGCTAATTGAGAGGTTAGTGGTTTGATCCCACCAATTGTGTCAGGGAGAAAGATGTGCCAGACTGTGTCCCTGCAGGTGAGCCAACAGCCTTGGATCTACTCTGTCCGAGTCCAAATCAACCCAAGTCCAAATCAACCCAACAGCAAATTTCAACTTTTAAGATGTTGCCAAGAATAATTTCACAATTTTTTCCCTAAAGGGTAAGGTAGATAAAATAAAAGAATTAGGCTAGAACCTTTGCAGTTGTCAACATCCCTTGGCTCTACTGTTCCTTTCTACCTTCTCAATTCTGAGGTCAATAACATGATTTTTAAGAATATGAATTCTTAACTGCTGCAAAATTAAGATTACTGTGAAGTCTTACTAAAATTCAGAAGATAATTTTACTACCTTTTAAACTGCTCTGTACCTTTTCTGAAGTAGAAAATTACTTGTTGGTAATATTGTCAAGAAGAAAACCAGGTCTTCATTAGCCTCTCCTATCTACCTTTACCTGGGGAATTGGTGAGAGAAAACTTGTACGAGGGCACTTCCAAAAGTTTGTAGATTATTTTTTAATTCAAGTTTTTTCACAAACTTTCTGAAGCACATTCTAATAGTTGTGGATGTTTAACTAGTTTGATTTAAAAAAATTTCTTAAAAGGCACAGGTTCCCAACCAATAGCTTCTTCACTATCCAAGTGTCTGCAATTTGCAGGTATCCTGTGTGGTTCTCAAAGGCTCCTATATACATTAATCTGGTATAATGCTTGATGTAGTTATATATTTATGCTTTAACTCATTCACTAAAGTAGCATTTGATAAGGTCTACTATGTACATCCATTATGCTAGGCAACGGTAAGACATGGTTTCAATCTTCAAATTAGGCACAATTTTCCTTGGTTGACGCACTTTTGCTAGCAGCTAATAATCTAATCATTCCATACTACACACTAATAATTGCATGTAAGGTTAAATGGATACTCAGAAATCATTGTCTAATCTTTCTCTATTGTAATTTAATTAAAATATGATTATATTTTTAACTTATCATTTTTCCTTAAATATAAATAATAATTCATATTTAGCTTAGAATATTCTGGTATTGATGTAGGAGATTTTTGTTGGTGAAAATTAGAATGTTCAAAGTTGTAAACAGAAAAGTACACACATCTCTAGTGCTTTTCCATATCTGATCCTTTAGGTTATCTGTCATTATTATTCTGAATCTTGTAAGCCTATCACCAGTTAAGTCTTTAGCAGAAATCAATAAAATGATTACAGTACCAAGGAGCACTATTACATATTTTCATTCTATTTTTTCTTAGACTACTTCTTTTTACAGCAATGTAAATTACAGTAATATCTTCCAAAAAAATATTTATTTCACTATATTGTGTAGAATAGTATAAATTCTATTTATTAGAATGCGAATATTCAAAATCAGTTTACTTTAGGAAACTTATTTCTAATAACTAAGGAACAGAAAACAATAAGGATATATCTTTAAGTACAATGACATGACAAAGTAGGCTACGATTCTACTCACATATTAATGTTAATTGTCAAGTTGTTTACGGTGAATGGTAATCTGTATTCCACATCTTTCTGTATTTCAGCTATACTATAGGAAAAATTTGAAAAGAAATAAATTATGCAAAATTATAAAACTATTAATGGTAAAAAACAAATTTCAAATGCTAGTGTCTCTTAAACCCAATTACTTCAACTTTGTATCAATCGAATCTGGACCATCATCAGTAACACTTGTATCTTAAAGGGGAAAAAAAAATCCATAATTAGAAAGCCTTGGCAAATTTGAACATGTCATTAAATAAGACCAACAGCAAGAAAAAGATGTGCTTTGTAGAATCAATGAAAAGGAGGGCAGCCTTTCATGAGATGGATTCACATGAAAGCCACAATGGACTGACACACACCACGAAGATGGCACGCAGCCAGGAAGCTTCATTCTGTTACAGCAGGTTACCAGGAGTTGGAGGCCACTGATGGCAGCCAACACAGATACTATTCTGAGACATCCACAATGGGGAAGGGCACCGCTAAAGAGAGAAGAAATTCTGTGTTCGTGATCATTGATTTACTATTATTTATGAATGACGGGGAGATGATTAAATTCTAAGATGGGTTTTTGTCCCACTTTGAGAGTCAAAATTATTCTAGAAAATCCTACATATGTCTATATAACAATTTTTATATAAAGATTAAGAACTCCTAAGCTAAACTGGATGGGATAACAGGAAAATCTAAAAGAATATGGGAAAAGCAAAAGTCTACTTTTTAGCAATAGTAATCTGAGAGCAAGGTACTGATCCAGTCTTGTTTCCTTAGTATAATTTAGTAACTAGATCAAAGGGTGGTTGTGAGTTAATAAATGCAAAGTGCTCATGACACATACTATTTTAAATGTTGTCTTGTGTGTTAGACAAGGTTCTCATTATTAGGATATGAAGGTATAAATAACTTTACAATCACTATGGAATCAATCCCCAATGGGCAACAAATAAAGAAGTCTAATGTTACTGTTACCATATATACTCGTGTATAAGCTGAGTTTTCCAGAACATTTTAATGAAGATTTTGTGGTAAAATAAGGTGCCTCTGGGTTGGCTTATACTAAAGTATATACGGTAGTTTCATTGTTGAAGTTAAGCCATTCTGTTTAATAATAAGCCTTTACAATCTTAAAACAAGGCAGATGCAGTAAGAATTCCAATTCAACTGTATCTTATGCAAGAATCTGTCCTAAATTAGCATAATTCATGATTGTCTAATTCAAATGACAAAGATTTTAATAGACCAGCACCATCGAACTGTGTACTACATTGAAACAACTGTATGTTGCAACCTTGTTACTCAAATGCAGACATGAATTTTGACTGGATGCATTAGGCAAAACAGCATTCATTGCTTCATTTGATGACAAATTACTTCCCTATATATAACTGATCACAAAAGTGACTTCAAATATATTTCTATTACAGTAACTTACAAAAGAGAACTTACTCCAAAAACAATTTATTGTTGCTGTAAAAACAAATACACAAAAACAAAGAGAATATAAAACTCACCCATGACTGCATAGTCTCAAGACAACCACTATTAACATAAGGTATATAACCTATTCTTCTACTTCAGTCTTCTTTTAAACAAAAATAGAATTAAACTGTACATACAATTTTACAACTTGATCTTGTCCATTTAGTAATTGTTACCATCTTCATAAACCAGCGGTTGTTATATTTTATATTACGGTTAATGATTGCATCGTACCTTGCCCTAGGTCCTACTGTTCTTTAACCTAAAGAGCCCTAGTGGTGTGGGTTACATGTTGGAGCTGCTAACATGCAAGAACAATAGTTTGAATCTACTCAGTACTGTATATACTCATGTATACGCCAAGTATTTCAGCACATTAAAAAAAATCGTTTTATTGGGGGCTCGTACAATTCTTATCGCAATCCATACATCCATCCATTGTGTAAAGCACATCTGTACATTTGATGTCATCATTCTCAAAACATTTGCCTTCGTTCCACTTGAGCCCCTAATATTAGCTCATTTTCCCCCTCCCTCCCTGTTCCCCCCTCCCTCATGAACCCTCCATAATTCATAAATTATTTTGTCATATCTTACACTGTACGACGTCACCCTTTACCCACTTTTCCTGTTCTCCGTCCCCCAGGGAGGAGGTTATATGTAGATCAGTTAGATCTTTCTGGAGCTAGATCTATACCTTAGTCCTTGGCTCCGCCCGAGAAAGAATTTACGCTGAAGCCTACGCTGAAGCCTGGCTCGTGATCCAAGTGAGTTTTATGAAAGTTAGAAGTTTCAGGTTTACCCGGCACCCATGGGGCGTTGGAAGCTGCTTGGCATCATGCAAAAGTGTCCCAATGTCCTGCCAAAGCTCTCTGCGCCAAAGTTCTTCCTCCTCCCTTCTCAAGGATTCCACAGGGAGGCGTGGTGGAAGACCCCTGATCGACCCCATTGGCTGAATTGAATTCACCTGGTCTAGGTGGGCCAATACAAGTACACGCCCACCCCTCCCTACCGGCAGGAATCCAAGCCTCTGGGCATGTGCAGGGCGCCACTCCTTTGTTCCCCTGGCTTGGCCCTCTGGGCACACGTTAAAGGACATTCCCAGCCCTATGCTAACCTACCTAACAGATCCTTGTAATCGGTTCCCTCTTTCTACCCCACCTTCCCTTACCTTCCATGTATCCACCACTCTCACCACTGGTCCTGAAGGGATCATCTGTCCTGGATTCCCTGTGTTTCCAGTTCCTATCTGTACCAAAGTACATCATCTGGTCTAGCAAGATTTGTAGGGTATAATTGGGATCATGATAGTGGGGGGAGGACGCATTCAAGAAGTAGAAGAAAGTTGTATGTTTCACCGTTGCTACCCTGCAACCTGACTAGCATGTCTCCTCCCTGCAACCCTTCAGTAAGGGGGTGTCCAGTTGCCTACAGATGGGCTTTGGGTCTCCACTCTGCACTCGTCCTCATTTACAATGATAGGATTTTTTTGTTCTTTGATGCCTGATACCTGGTCCCTTCTACACCTCGTGGTCACACAAGCTGGTGTGCTTCTTCCATGTGGGCTTTGATGCTGCTAAGCTAGATGGCTGCTTGTTGACCAGCAAGCCTTTAAGACCCCAGATGCTATATCTTTTGATAGCGAGGTAACATCAGCTTTCTTCCCCACATTTGCCTTCAGCGATCACATCAGGAAGGTCAGCACATTTTTTTTTAAACATTTTATTAGGGGCTCATACAACTGTTATCGCAATCCATATACACATCAATTGTGTAAAGCGCATTTGTACATCATTCTCAAAACATTTTCTCTCCACTTAAACTCCCGACATTAGGTCCTCATTTTCCCCCTCCCTCCCCCCTCCCCTCTCCCTGGGTTTGTTTTTTTGTTTGTTTGTTTTTTCTCTTTTTTAACATTTTATTAGGGGCTCATACACTGTTATCCCAACCCATACACACATCAATTGTGTAAAGCGCATTTGTACATCATTTCTCAAAACATTTTCTCTCCATTTTTAATGCTGTTTTTGTGGTAAAATTAGGTGCTTCGGCTGATATTCGGATGGGCTTATACTTGAGTTTGTTTAAACAGTAAGAGTTCAGGGCAATGAATGTACAAATGTGCTTTACACAATTGATGTATGCATGGAGCATGATAAGAGCTGTATGAGCCCCTAGTAAAATGATTAAAAAAAGAAAAAAAAAGTGTTGTACAAGCCCCCAATAAAATGATTTTTTTTTAAAGAAAAAAAAAAGGAGTTCCAAAGGAGAAAGATGAGGCTTTCTGAATCCCCAAAAGTTCACAGCCTCGAAACTCAAAAGAGCAGTTCTACTCTGTACAAAAAGGTTGCTATGAGCTGAAATCATTTCAAGAACATTTGATTTGGGTTTTGAATGCTTTAATCTATTCCCTATTGATAGACATATATATAGAATTATTTCCAAATTTTACTATTATAAAATCTATGCTTGGATAAAACTTCTTATAGACATATTTTTATGCTTAAATAGCACCTCTTTGGATGAAAATACGTAACACATACAAACATATTATATATCATATATATTTAAACTAATGCTGCGATTACACCAGAAAAGAATTCAAATGCACTTCCATTAATAATTTTATCTGTGGGTTTTATAAGAAGATAATTATCCTGTTTTTAACTCAGTGATTCTGGATTTGTGGGAAAAAAGAGTTTTAGCTAATAGACTTTTAAATACAAGTTTAAAAGTTCCTGATGAGAATATAAAATGATTTTTTAAAAAGTAAAGAAAGAAAAAAAGATCATGCTTTTGCTTTAGGGTTAGTGATCTCAAGTTCTGCTTGCCCAGGGTTGCTGTAAACATTAAATTTGTAAAAGATGCAGGAACTCTGAAGTGATAAAGCAAAGTTCAATTAAACTAGGGCTACCTGTAATATTTATACGAGGGGTACCCCCCCAAAAAAACCTGCAAGATTTTTTTCAAGGCTGTGTATTTAAATTTTTTTACAAAACAACCATATCCCCTTCAAAGTACTTTCCATTATACTTAATACATTTTTCAAATCTGTGATTCTGTTCTTGGAAACATTTTTGAAACTCATCTGTTTGGATGGTTGACAGCACTTCCCTTGTTATTTTCTTCACCTCTTCTAATTTGTCAAATTTCTGTCCTTTCATGCCCCTCTTCATTCGTGGAAACAAGCCTTTTTTTGTAGCACACTGTTATGCAATCTTTTCAGAATCTCTAAATAGAAAGCTTGATTCAGTCTGACCTGGTGGAATGAACTCCAAATGCACTACCCTCCTCACATCACAACCAGTTTTGGGGGGAACTCCCTTGCAGGTTTACCTTGAAAATAAAGGAGTCAGATGTTTAGACAAAGATGGTAGATACACAATAGATAATTCCTCTTTTCCATCTAAATATCTATGAAATATCAAAACATTATCAGAAAGCAAATGCGTGCCAGTACTAAAAAACAAAAAGAACCAAGGGCAGATAAGAAATATTTAGGGCTTCCCTCAGTGGTAAAGATAAGATGAGATTAAGGAAACCTATAGCTTTGTCAGGTCAATT